CTTTGTCACAGCATGGAGCTCTTCCCATGATCCCTGCAAGCTAGTTCTCTCTTGCAATGCTGTCCTTGTGAACCAAACGAGGGCAGAAAGAAAAGGATTGAAGGGTCAAATAAGTTTGGCCCCCTAGATGAAAACTCTGCTACTGCAGGTGCTCTTGATCTTCCGATGACGGTTCCTCCGAAGATGATTCGAGCTCTGGGATTCCTGGTGGAGTTTATGTATGCCTTAAGATGTATTGCCTCTGCGTGGCCAAGCAAAGTTGCTGGCAAGACATGGGCATCCACAGAGTCTTCTTCCAAGTTTATCACTGTGTTTGCCAGTATCATTGCAGCACCACCAGCCTCCTTTACTACTTCACCCTTCTTTGCCCTACCGTTCACACCTCGATCACAGACCACCATCTTTCCTCGAACTTTTGATCTTGGAAGGGACCCTCTTAAGCAAAATTCACTTCCCGTGTTCCCTTTGGTAACGTAAACAACTTTAAGTTCACTTCCAGAACCTGGCATCTGCTTTCCTGGGGACAATGATTCTCCGTAAAGGAGTTTTCTGGTACCCATTCGATCTACGGTTGGAAACCTCCGGTCGAGCGTGCTTGCACCGATGGTAGCAATCCAGGGGGCTGTGTTGGCTACTGAGCTTTGAATTGGGCCATTATTCCCTGCAGCACAAATGACTGACATTCCATGCTCCATTGCTCTGAAACGGGCGGGATTGGTACACATCAGCATCCAACGTGTGAAAAAAACGACAGCTGGCACAGGCTAAACGGAGATCGTGACGGTGATGACGTCAACTGTTAGATAATGATCGATTTGGGTAAATCGATACTTTTGGGGTGTCATTTGTCCCTGCTTTTTTTTGAGGGGTGGATCCGTCCCTACCCATATTTGTCAGGGGGTGATTTGAGGGTTTTGCCTTTTTTTTTAAAAAAAAATGGGATTGGGAATATAAAACATTATCTTTTCTGTAAGACTCAAAAAAAAAAAAAATACAAGTAAATAAATTTTAAAAAAGTTCCAAACCTTTAAGATCAATTAAAAATAATTTTATTCTTTTTAAATCAAGAATCTTCTAAAATTACTTAAAATAGTCCTATTACTTTTGAATAGGGCATGCCTAGACCTTTCAACTCAATCGCATTATCATGCTTTTTATTAAATTATGTTAAAATAAACTAAAATTTTATTTTAATTTTTTACTAAAAGCAAGTACAATAATAAAGTTCTTTTTGTTACTTAATATTTTGTTAATTCCATATTATCACAATTAATATCATTCTATGTAAACTCATATTTTAATATATTTAACCTCTAAATTGAACACCTAACAAAAACATCTTTCACTATTGCTTATATCTAACAAAAATTTCTCAAAAAGTTGGACAGCATATTTAAAAAGATTAGGACTGTTTTGTACTCGACCTCAAAGGCATAGGATGTTTTTCAAATTTACTCAAAAGAAAACAATTTAGTCAATATGGTAAACAGAAAATTTCTTTAAAATAAAAAAAGATAAATAAATAAATAAAGGGGGACGGAAGCTGAGAATAAGAGATAGGGAAAACAGGCAGACACCAAACCAAAACCTTGCGTCTTTTCTGCCCCGGAAGGTAGAACCCAAGATAGAGCAGAAGAAGGGTCCGAAGGTAATATTTTCATCTTGGATGTTCTTTCCTTTGCTGGGTTTTGAATATCTTAGCTTCTGATTCGTTTTTTGGTACAATGTTCCGGCGTTAATTGCTGGTGGGTTTGTGGATTTATCGTTTACTGGGTTTTATACTTGGGTTTCTGCATATACTTCTTTCAATTGGCTTTGTTCCTCGAACTCTCGGAAGTGGGTGGACGAATTTTGTTTGTTCTATGTCATTTTACGACATGGGTTTCCTCTGGTTTCTGGTAATTTGTTAGCTGTCCTGTGGTTTGTGAAGTGGGTATTCAGATGTAGGACATGTTGTTTTTAAATTTCCTAGGTTTATTATTTTGTGATTTAAGGTAGTGGGTAGTTTAGATTTGGCTGTTTTCGGTGATATCAGGGCATGATGACTGATGATTGACCTGTGCTAATAGCATGGTTGCTGCAGTTTGATGCTACTATTTGTTTTTGATTTATGTTCTTAGGGCGATTTACTGCATAGTTTGATTTTTAGCTGCTAGATCTATCTCTTTCTACAAGTTGAATACTTCTTATTTCTTCAGTGTTCATGTTTTCACCGTGCGTGAAGTTCCACTTTAGGGCATGGATGAGTAGATAGAATGATTTTGTTATATTTTGTTTACCAGACAGCTTGAATGGATCCAATATCTGAAGATCATATAGACTTTGGAGATGAGGAATATGGGGGGTCTCAGAAGACACAGTATCCAGGAAGTGGAGCCATACCTGCACTTGCAGATGAAGAGCCGCTGGGGGATGATGATGAATATGATGAGCTCTATAATGATGTTAATGTTGGAGAGAGTTTCCTGCAGATGCACCGTTCTGAGGCTCCAACTCAACCTAGTGGTATGGCCAGTAGTGGTGTTGCAGCTCGGAAGAATGATGGTCCTGAGCCAAGTTTTGATGCTGGGGGTTCAAGAGGTCAAAATATGCCAGGGGCTCCAGTCCATGGTAAATACTCTGCTGCTGGGGCCTCTTTCCCAGAGCAAAATGAGGGGCAACAGGCTATTAACAGATCAGAAATGGGATCTGTCAGTTATCAATCTGGATCATCTATTCAACAAAAGGGGGGTGTCATAGAGATGACACGTGATCCCCAAGTCAAAACCATAGGTTTTCAAGGATTGGCCTCAGCACCTTCCAAGATTGGGGTCAATCCTTCTGATGTGCCTCAAAAAATTGCTAATGATGCTGCTCAGTCATTCAATTCTGGTGCTGTTGGCCCTCAAGGTGTCCCTCAGATTCCAGCAAACCAAATGGGTATGAATTCCAATCATTCTGTGCTGAATGAAAATCAGATTCGGCCACCAGTAGAGAATGGTTCAACCATGCTGTTTGTGGGAGAATTACATTGGTGGACTACTGATGCAGAGCTTGAGAGCGCTTGTTCTCAATATGGAAGAGTGAAAGAAGTTAAGTTCTTTGATGAGAGAGCCAGTGGTAAATCGAAAGGTTATTGTCAAGTTGAGTTCTATGATCCAGCTGCCGCAGCTGCATGTAAAGAGGGAATGAATGGGAATCTTTTCAATGGGCGGGCTTGTGTTGTGGCATTTGCTTCTCAACAAACTCTGAAGCAAATGGGAGCTTCTTACATGAGTCGAACTGAGGGCCAATCTCAAACCCAGTCTCAGGGAAGGAGGATGAATGATGGCTTGGGGAGAGGTGGTAATATGAATAATCAAGGTGGAGAAGCAGGAAGGAATTATGGAAGGGGTGCTTGGGGACGGGGTGGGCAAGGGGGAATTCTTAACAGACCTGGGCCTGGAGGACCAATGAGGGGAAGGGGAGCTGCTGGTGCAAAGAACATGGGTGGAGTTGGAAATGGGGCCGGTGGTATGGGAGGCTATGGACAAGGGCCAGCAGGTCCTGGATTTGGGGGTCCTCCCGGTGGCATGATGCACCCACAGGGCATGATGGGAGCTGGATTTGACCCAACTTATATGGGTCGGGGAGGTGGGTATGGAGGTTTTCCAGGTCCTGGTTTTCCTGGCATGCTTCCACCATTTCCAGCCGTTAATACAATGGGACTTGCTGGAGTAGCTCCTCATGTCAATCCTGCTTTCTTTGGCCGTGGTGTGGCACCTAATGGGATGGGAATGATGGGCTCCTCTGGAATGGATGGTCCTCATGCGGGAATGTGGGGCGATACTAGTATGGGTGGGTGGGGAGGAGAGGAACATGATCACCGGACTAGGGAATCTAGTTATGGTGGGGAAGATGGTGGTTCTGAATATGGTTATGGAGAGGCAAACCATGAGAAAGGAAGGTCAAGTACTGCCTCACGTGAGAAAGATCGGGCTTCTGAGCGTGAGTGGTCTGAGAACACTGACAGGAGGCATCGTAATGAGAGGGATCGAGACTGGGACAGGTCTGAGAGGGAGCACAGAGAGCATAGGTACAGAGAAGAGAAGGATGGCTACCGAGAGCATCGTCAAAGAGACCGTGACTTGGATTATGAGGATGACTGGGACAGGGGACAATCTTCTTCAAGATCTCGAGGCAGATCCCATGCAGTGCCAGAGGAAAAAAACAGGTCTCGATCAAGGGATGCTGATTATGGAAAAAGGAGACGACCATCAGATTGATAGAATGATGCTGTTCATCCTATTTATCAGGTCTTATGAGATCTCACTTTTATCTTCTCTCATGGTTTTCTCCCTCAGGTGCTATATTCATCTATTAGCATTCTCTATGACTTCCGTTGGTCTAGAAGAGAAGTATGGCTCCCTGAGGGAAGAAGTAAGTTCCACTTCCGTTGCTAGGGGGAAGACTGGACTTCCCTTTCCTATGATATTGCATTCTACAGAACAAACTTTAGATATTTGTGTTAGATAATTGGTTTGAGGCAGTGTTTCCTTATGAGACTTTTAGAAATACCTATTTTGTGTTTGTTTGTGTTAGATGTTTGTTATTTATATGATTTTGATGTTGGTAGATTAGCAGCCTTCATAGCTTCTGGATGATTTGGCCCTACATTAATTTGGTTTTGAGAGGGAAATGGATTGGGGAGGTGGAAGATGTGAGATGGTGGGGCACCTTATTATGCTTCCATGACTAATTTAGACATTCCTAGAATATCATTTAGGTGTAAAATATAGTCTAATTGTTTTTTTACTGTTTTTTCCTATTTCTTTTTGGAGCTTGAATTTAAGTTATATTGCTTTACAGTAACTTGTCTCTAACTGTTTCTTTTCCTCCTGTACTGTACTTTTGTTTGTGCTAATTATTCTTGTAGCCGAAATTTACATCCTAAATCTAAGATATAGTGAATGCTTTCCATTAACTGTCATAAAATGCTTGAAATTCAACTTTCCCATTTTTTTGGGTTAAATTTTGGAGAATTGTTGGTTTGATCAAGGAATGCAATTTTTTTGTTTCCTGCCATGTTTTCCAGTTAAGCTCTTTCCATTTGGTTGTTTTGTTTTTGCTTGGGAGTTGGGGCAATTTTTTAAATTTGCCTTTGGGTTTGATTTGGTAATGGTGTTGTATGGGGTTACTGCAACGTATAACCCTACCACAGATATAGCTTTGTTCCATCATACTGCCTTAGCAGTTGAACAGAAAGAATTTTCAGTGCTCTCAGTCATCTTAGATTGTAACAGAGGGTTAGGATTAAATCATAAGTTCAGTTGGTCCGTATGTAGGTTTGTGATCTTTTCCTATGGATTTTTCTGAGTGTCCAACTGAAAGCTCAGGTTTAAAGCTTATACAGAACATGGTTGCTAAATTCCTGGTTGACATTCTTCTTTTTCTTTCTTCTCTTACTGACAATACCCTTGTTCACACCCCCTCTCTTTGAATCTATGCTTCCTTATATTTCTGTAGTTTCATACTGGTCTTAAGTTTTGAACCACTGAACAATAATGATATATTCAACTTTAAAGCAGTGCCCTAAAAACCAAATGCCAATTTCAGAATTATATTTTACCCCGTTATTTAGTGCTCAGTATTTTGGAAGGGTCTGAATATTGATATTTAGTGAAACCCTGGATCTGTCTGTATGCTCTGAATCTGACCAAATCTATTGCTGATAACAGAGGTATAACCATAGGACTGCAAGCAAAACTGAATTCAACTGACCATTCTATGATTTTATGCCTTTTTAAAGATACTATAGTAATAATGTGTCCTGTTGGCAGATTTTGAGATGGTAGCTTTGGCCTTTTCTTTTCTTATGTTCTTCTCTTTTATGTCTATTGACATGGGGGTTTTTCTTATCATCGCTTCCAGGGAGTGGAGTGGCAACTCTTTGTTTTCATGATTGAATCAGCCTGTGTTATTGGCTGGAGCAAGATTTGTTAGATGAGCTGGCTTCATTGAGTTACTCTTTGCTCTGGCCTTTGAAGTGTGTCAAATTATTTTTTCAAGAACCTCTAACCTCAGCAAAGAAAGTAGAGCCTCTACTGAATACTCAATAGGAACATGATGTTGGTGATACATATATAAGCAACACATCCTTTAGTCTACTTGTAATAATAATATTTTTCTTGTAAAGTCGAGTCGGTGTAGTAGATTGACAAGTTGTAATGACCACTTTTGTTGTGTTTCAAAATAGCTGGCACATTAATTAGATTTGTAGGAGTTTTATCCAATATTGGGGGGCTGATGCTGGTTACTAATCTAGACATATTTGTAATATTGCCAATGATGTTAGTTTTTTCAAGAAGAGGCATATATGAGGTAGGATCTATTGTAATATGGGGTTCCTGTTCAAGTTGTAAGTCACCATTGTAACATGTAATTCCTGGTTTTTCTTAAGGGCTTTTACCTCCGTCAATGCACAAAGGATTCAAAGAGCTTTGTATTTAACTTCAGTAGGGATGAGGAGTTGCACATTGCTGCTTCATTCTGTGTTTTACCAAGCAGAAAAATTTTGGGTTGGTTTGGTTCTTTCATCTGTACAGAGTTGTATTTATGTTTCCTTTTACAAAGTTTTGGAGTCTACTTTGCACAAACTGTTTCTTATGTATTGCTGTAAATTTTGTGGTGATGTTTCCTCATGTACATGTTGTACTGTATGTCTTGTACAGATTAAGTGTTCTAGTCTTTTATAAGGATAGATAGGGTAGCATACGATGTATTGTGCCATCCTCATTCTTCTTTTGCATATTTGTATAGGAGCAAGATGTTGTTACTGGAGGAGTTTGTAGCCAGATTCTTCCATTTCATGGTAGGATAAATTCTATTTTGGTTGATGAGAAAAGCTGTTACTTGTAAGAGTTGCACATAATCTGCCCGTTAGCCAGGTTCCATGTGCGCATATGCTTTTCTTTTTATTGTTTTAATTTACAGATCTGTTTTCTTGTGATGATCTTGTTTTGTGTTACAATGTTAACGTATATGGTTCTGCCACTAGGGGAAGACTGGGTATGTGTCTGATACCCTTTTTATGTGACTGGGTATGTGTTTGATACCGTTTTTATTTGCCATACTCGACGGGTACAGGGCTTATTTTTCACGAAATTTTGAAGTGGGGATTATCTTTCACTACCGTGTCAAGTTTGGTGACTAGTTCATCTTTATTGCCAGCAACATATAACATTTATAATCTTACATGGTATGTAAGTTATGATGTATTATTATATGATTAATTCTTTATTTGGGGTCACGTGTGATATTGTATGGCATTGGAAGAAGTATATCATTTTCAACAACATAAAAGTAGGAAAAAACCGAGATCTTAGAGTTGCAACTCCTTTTATTCTCTCATTATTCAGTTCAGAATTATTGTGCCTAACAGAATGAATTCAATAATTCTTTTTAAAAAAAAAAATTCAAGGCTGCGCCATGGCAACCATTGTTGCATGCATGCATGCAGCCAGCTTAGAGAACAAAGTATCCAGCAATGGCAGCAGCTCCAGCAGCGGCAGAGACCCCAAGGGCGCTCGCACCGCTGCCACTGGGAGCATGTGCGGGGGCACCAGCATGAGCTTTAGCATCCTCGGCGCTGCCAATTGGTGCTGCAACAGCATCAATACCGTCGCTCCCAGGGGCTGCAGCAGAATCATCAGTGTTTCCAATGGCATCATCGTTTCCACCAGCAGCCGCTCCGGTTGCCTGTGCAGGTGCGGCTGCGGAGACCATCCCAACAACGGTGACAAGGAGGAGAACAAGAATAACAACCTTGCTGGCCATTTTGATTTCTTCGGGGAAGGGTTTTTAGGTATTTTTGGGGTTTTGTTTTCGGTAATGTACAAAGATTGCAGCTTTTCCCTTTGGAATTAATGTAGAGAAGAACTGCAGAAGATGGTTTTGTGAAGGGGATATAAATAGCATTTTGTTTGTAATAATGGGTTTTGTTATGGCTTTGCCGGCGAAATTGTTGTGCGAGTATTGAGCAAAACCATTTATTTGGCATGCCAATTCCAATTACAGGGCGGTTGCCATTTTGGGTAATTTTGCAGGTGGTGAGGAACTTAATGATGACCTTTTCAACCCTTTTCAACCGTTGGCATATATGAACCTTGAATCAGGTCTTCAAAGAGTTGGTGGAGAAAGAAGTGAAGTGCATAAGAAAGAAGAATAGATTTAAGAGAATTGTAGAAGTTTAGGGCAAAGATTTTAAGCAATCACGTAGACAACAATGGTAGTATGTTAAAGATGTGTTTAAAGTTACTTTTTTATAATGTATTTTCACACATCACAAGTATTAATTTATTATAATTAAATTAATTTTAATTAATATTTTATATAGTTTTATAGTTATATTAATATTTATGGTTTTTTTAAAAATAATTATCAAATAATAATATAATTTTTTTCATAATAAAACATTAAAAAACCTATAATTATAATATCTTATAGTAATTCTAAATACATTTCAAGACATAAAAAAATTTTATTGTATTTTTAACATACCACTAACATGATATCTCAAGTTAATAAAAACACACCATCTTAACTTTTCACTCATAAATGATTAATGAAATGTGAAAAAAGAAAAGGCTAAGATGATGTGCTTTTATTGTCTTGAGATACCACAAACGTGGTATCCCGAGATACAGCAGAATTCCTTGAAGACATGAGGGTAACCACCTCTCTAAGCTTTTCATTGCTCCTCAACCTACACGGTATAATTGAAGGGCTTATTATTTCTAACTCTAAAAGGAGATTTAGGGCTTAAACCTTACGTTACAAAGTTTGAGGGTTTAAAATTAAAACCCTAACAAATTTAAGGACTTAAGTTATATGATTTCTAGTAAAGATTTTCTGGTGTAATGGGCTTAACCCAATACAATAAAATCTAAGCCCAAAAGCTATAGATCCAACCCAAGAAATGCAAATTTCTAAAAATTACGATCTCGCCAGTGAGTTAACGAGTTAGGGCTTCTACACTCTTCTCTTCCCCCTCTGCATTTCATTTTTGAAAAGCTGCGAGGAGCTCGACGGTGAAGGAGGAGAAGACGGTGAGATCTTGAGGAGAAAGAAATGGCGTTGGCGTTTGATGAGTTCGGGAGGCCGTTCATTATAATCAAGGAGCAGGAGCAGAAGACGCGGCTGAGGGGACTCGAAGCGCAGAGGGCCAACATTTCTGCTGGAAAAGCTGTCGCTCGGATCCTCCGGACATCGCTCGGTCCCAAGGGCATGGACAAGATGCTCCAGAGCCCTGACGGCGATGTCACTATCAGTTAACTCTCCACACCTTTCCTCTTTTTAAAATTTTCTTGTTTCCAATTTTGTTTTAATCTTCTGTGTTGATCTTGTAGCTCAGGTTTCATTGTTGCTCCCTTGTAAAAATTGTTGGTTGAATCACTAGGGTTTGTGCCTTTTCTCGTTGGTTATGGCTCTGTTTTCTATTAATGATGAAATATAAATGAATAAATTTTCTGTTTAGAGCTATGTGAGGTAAATTTTTAAAGTAGTTTGAGGTAATGAATTAGTCATGAGCTAATTAGGAAAGTTATAGTGAAGAACAATGTTCTAGTGTCTGTTGAATCCTTTTGGATAGATGCCTGATTGAATTGTTTAGCTAATCAAATATTCTATTTTAGTATTAGGAAGATACTTCTGATCACTTGGTTTTTTAGCGTTGCTTCTTTTGCATGCTACTTTTAGTGTATTGCATGTAGTCTCACTCCCCATTAGTAAGACATATAGGGTTGTTAAGAAAAAAAAATAAGGATTTGAGGTTGGAATTGTTGTTGGTATGCTTATTAACGGAGAGGTTTTCTTACATTTTATTCCTTTTCTTGCCAGCAAATGATGGTGCAACAATCTTAGAACAAATGGATGTTGACAACCAAATTGCCAAGCTGATGGTGGAGCTATCTAGGAGCCAGGATTATGAAATTGGGGATGGAACAACTGGTGTTGTTGTCATGGCTGGTGGACTTCTGGAGCAGGCTGAGCATTTACTAGAACGAGGAATTCATCCCATAAGAATTGCAGAAGGATATGAAATGGCTTCTAGAATAGCTTCTGATCATTTGGAGCATATAGCTCAGAAGTTTGATTTTGGAATGACAAATATAGAGCCTTTGGTTCAAACTTGCATGACTACTCTGTCATCAAAAATGTAAGTCCACCCTTTTCTTGGCCAACCCCACTCCCAATCTTTTCAAAATGCATAAAAAAACATCCATATTCCAACTTTGGTGGTTGTTGGCAGTATGATACCTTGTTATGTTACTGTTAGATATTTTGGTAAAATTTCTATAAACATATATATATTCTACAACAGTTGGTTGTTCATATTCCATCTCAATGCTATTCTGTTTTTTTGCAGAATAGTTTATTCTTGACATATTTCATACTTGTGCAAACTATAATTTTGTCAATTCACCTTAAGGATCTGTCAAATCAGATGTGGTATTGTTCCATCGTGCCTATCAATATGATGTTAAATGTTATCACTTGCATAATAATTCCCCATATCTAATGATGCTTCTCTTGACACATTGCCACTGTTCAATTGCGCTTGAGTACTCTTAAATAAAGAGAGTTGTTAGCATAAATCTTTTTGGTTATGTGGATGCAACTTTAGTTAGTGGAAATGTCTCAAAATTTGATTTCTTAGCTTCTCTGGACCCTGAGGAACTAGGAAGTTTGCTCAATCTGGATAGCTAGTCCTGTGGGCCAGGTTTTTACCCTTTTTGAATTATTCCTGAATACCCCTAGTTATTAAAAACTCTTCATTTTAATCTATTTCTATATTTACAGAACTGATATTGCCAGGGCTGTTATGGCCGTGACAAGCGTGTTTACTTTTCATGCTGGAATATTGAACCAAGTACATTAGGTAGCAGTTTGTGCATTTGAAATTGATTCAACTGTCATCTAGTTATTTATTGGTAGTTAGACCCATAAAATTGGCATTAAGAGAGATTGCAATCAGACAATCAGTAAATAATTTTTCTTAAAGTTTTGATGATCAATGATGATGGTTGTTACATAGATTATGTACTCTGAAAGTCTGAATCTGTAACAACTTGTTATTTTGCAGTGTGAACCGGTGCAAGCGCAGTTTGGCTGAGATTGCTGTTAAAGCAGTTCTAGCTGTTGCAGATCTAGAGAGGAAGGATGTGAATTTAGATCTAATTAAGGTGGAGGGAAAAGTTGGGGGGAAGTTGGAGGATACTGAACTGATATATGGAATTACTGTAGACAAAGATATGAGCCATCCACAAATGCCAAAGCAAATTGAAGATGCCAAAATTGCTATATTGACTTGCCCATTTGAGCCACCAAAACCAAAGACTAAACATAAGGTTGACATTGATACTGTGGAGAAGTTCCAAACTTTGCGTCAGCAAGAGCAGAAATATTTTGATGACATGGTTCAGAAATGCAAGGTGGGGTTTCACATTTTAGCTGAGTTTTTTTATTTCTATCACAATTATTGTATGTACTTCTACTTCTCATTTGCATGCCCATCTGCTCAGACAATCAACGTGTCTGCCTTTTTTCCCTGCTGTAGTTCTATGGTGATGTATCTTGTGGCAATTTCCTTTCGGAAGTTTGGGGTGATTAATTAGGCTGGAAATTATCTTTTTGCAGGATGTTGGTGCTACACTGGTAATCTGTCAGTGGGGTTTTGATGATGAGGCAAATCATTTGTTAATGCACAGGAACTTACCTGCTGTCAGATGGGTTGGTGGTGTGGAGTTGGAGCTCATAGCAATAGCAACAGGTTAAAAGGCATTCAGCTTATTTGTACTTCTAGGCGGTCTATCTTGGGTTAGGATAAATATTTATGAGTTAACTGTAAACGTACTTCATTTTATTTTCTTATAATCAATATTATTGTATTCTGACAGGTGGAAGAATTGTGCCAAGATTTCAAGAGTTAACCCCTGAAAAGTTAGGAAGGGTATGTTTTTGTCCACTTCTTTTTTGCCAATCTAATTCAACTAGACATGTATGTTAAAATATTTTCATAAATCCCTTGTCTAGAATTTCAGCATCTTAAAAATTTCAGCTTGATTTTGTGATGGTTTGTTTTAACTGAATGTGACTGGAAACTTAATTTGCCAAGCTATTCTATTTCTCAGGCTGGTTTGGTTCGTGAGAAGTCCTTTGGAACAACAAAAGATAAAATGCTGTACATTGAACACTGTGCAAATTCAAGGGCTGTAACCATATTTATTCGTGGAGGTAGATATTTTACCTTGTCCTTTTTCTGTCACAATTGGCTTGTTTCGGCTTATATACCATCTTTTGTTGATAATGTTTAGTTTTTTGTTGAAATTATGGATTTTAATTAGACAAGTATTGAATTCTTGACTGCCAATATGAGGTATGATGTTATGGTAAAATAGTGTGATAGCTTCAACCTAGTTAGCTTACATGCATGTTCTGTTTTGTGAACTGGGAATAAGAATAATGAGACATGTAAATTTTAGTAGATTGATGTGGCTGAAGCAGTAATTGCTTTCAAGGGTTGAATATCTCATACAAATCTTTGGCCTTTTTTACAATGCATTAGGTAACAAGATGATGATAGAGGAGACAAAGCGAAGTATCCATGATGCTTTATGTGTGGCTAGGAATCTGATACGCAATAATTCTATTGTCTACGGTGGCGGGTCAGCTGAGATTTCTTGTGCAATTGCTGTAGAGACAGCTGCAGATAAATATCCAGGAGTTGAGCAGGCAAGAAAGAACTTGGACACATGGATATATGTTTATTGATATTATTCCTTTCTGGGGGTTACGCATCTGACATTGAGGATGTGTTTGTTTGTTTTGTGTTTTGTGTTTTTATTTTTATTTTTATTTTTATTTTTATCTGCAGTACGCTATCAGGGCTTTTGCAGATGCTTTGGATTCTATTCCCATGGCGCTGGCAGAGAATAGTGGGCTCCAACCTATTGAGACACTTTCAGTTGTGAAGTCACAGCAAATTAAGGTAGTAACGATTATGTCCACTTTCAGCTCACACGTTCTCAGTACCATACGATGTTGATGGATTCTGATTTTGATTTTATATCCAATCCTTAGGAGAACAACCCGTATTGTGGAATTGATTGCAATGATGTTGGCACAAATGATATGCGTGAACAAAATGTGTTTGAGACCCTCATTGGCAAGCAGCAGCAAATCTTGCTGGCAACACAAGTTGTCAAGATGATATTGAAAATTGACGATGTTATCTCCCCATCAGAATACTGATACAGTGGGCCTGTTTTTCATGTGACTCCTTAAATCAAGGAATGAGAGTGACGTGTTGATTTATATGGCATCTCAGTAATTTTCGGACCATTAATTCCCCCTTTTTTTGGCCGAAACCATATATTCCCTTGATTGAAGCATCTTTGGTTATTTTTTTGAATTGTCATTTATTGGCCTTGTAGAACTATTACCCTTGTGATCAGTTGCTTTTGTTTATTTTGCTTATTTTGCTTGTTCTTTATCTCTTCATTCATTTGACGCCCATTTCGATCCCTGGCTGGGGCCTCGATTATGATTTGGTGCAAGGTACCTGGTCGATATCCGGGTCTTTTATTCTATGGTCCATTACGAAGTACTTGCTAGAGGAAAGTCCCCTGGTCCCATATGCTGGCTAGGACGCGCAATTTAGCCCTCTATTTGTGTCCTTGTTGATGCCCAACTTCCTAAGGCGTTTATGTCCTTGTCTCCATTCGCAGTACATGAACATAGGCTATCGGCCTATAAGATTTAGCCGCTTCTGTCCGATGCGTCGGCTGCGCTCTTTCCTTTTGCTCTCTTCTTGTACTAGTTTTTCCCATGGCTTGCAAGGAACTGAGGTTAAAAACTAATGTTTAGTTCCCATATAAGTTTAATCCTAGTTAATTCCACCGAATGTCATTGAGCCTGTACTAAACTCCGCGTAATCCGCACCAAATGACGCTCTTTTTTATTTCTACTTTTTTTTTTTGGAAAAAAGTAAATGGTACTTGGCAAAATGCGGAATGCACTTAGCATTGCTCAACCGCAAAATTTTATTTATTCCTATAATTCATTTGCTACTATATTATGGATGGGATGGAAGTTGCCTGAAACACGGGTGATGTTCTTTATGGCAACTGGCATTGTTGGGAGGCAGAGACCTAATAACGAACGCAATTGTCCCTTTCTAACCCAAAAATTGCGTCGGCTGAGCTGAGCAGTAGGATGAGAATTTCCTGCCTCCAAACAAGAACTAGGCAAAGGCAAAAATGTAGTTGTAAGCGGTGTACGCAATCAATTCGTAGAAAATGAAAATGACTCATTATCCGCGGAACAATGACTGCATATATCTATATCTCAATATCATATTTTGATCCGATCAAAAATAGGTCATTCATCGACAAAATGATGAATCACACCCACGTCTTTTAGTATGTGAAGCATTTATTGAAGCGAATAACAAGTAGGGGCAATGTTACTTCAAACATTCAATTTATCAACTCTTGTCCTCATTTCAACTTCCAGCTCCTGGGAAAGAGGCTAAGGTTGTAGGGTGTACATTGAAAAATAAGAATTACCAATATACAGGAAGAATTAGGATTTCTTGTAATTACTACTGCCCACATTACTCTCTCCTCTTCCAAAATTATATTATTAGCTAACATCATCCTAATTAACAACGTGACCCCTTCTTGCAGCCTAGTGCTCCGGCAGCCGCCGTGATTGAGCTCACAAGTGAAGACGGTCTCGCACTCAGGCTCGATGCCTTGGCATAACTCGAAGACGCTCCTGCCCCAGATGCTGTGAAGAATGCTCCGTTCAACATCAAGTCCCCTTCCGACCTCCAATTCCAATTCTTCCATTCACTCACCGGAGCATCCTCATGTTTTGTAACCTAAATTTTGAGATACATTAATGCTCTAATAAAAAAAAAAAAAATCTCAATTCCAGAAAAAGATCAAGAAACTAATAAACCAAAATAGTTAACCACATTCTTACCTCTTTGTAGAATTTACCATCGGGAGCAAGAAATCTATTCCCTTGACTATTAATTGTAGGAGACGCACTTCCACCAATTGCATACATCTCCCAGTGGGTATAATCATTATTCACCACATGAAAATAACCTTGCCTACATCTGCATTTCACAAAATAAATCATTGTCAAATAGCTGGCAATCATAATCACGATATTTTAAGTTAAGTCGTATCTCGTATAGATTATTTTTTAATTTTATTTTAATTTTTTAAAAATAAAAAATTAAAATGCAATATAAATAACATAATTTAAACTATTAAATGTGGGTGAGTTCTCTAAAATTAAATCTATTTTGGAATCAAAACAGGATTCTCTCCCTATAATTTAATTATGACTAGAATTTGATTACCTGGGCATTCTTTGTACAAGCCCTTCTCCGAAATGGTTAAAGGCAATAGTGACTTGCATGTTCTTGTCCCTAGTATAGGTGTCACTGTGGCCCAAGAGCATAACCTTATCGTGGTGGGTCATGTAATTGTTTGAGATGGTGATGGCTGTGGATCCATGGATGGCATCAATTAGCCCATCGTTGCAGTTGGACAGAGAGCAGTGATCCACCCACACGTGGCTGCCACCAAATATCGACACACCGTCGCCGTCCGACACCGTCCGCCACCCATAATGCTCCGGTGTGTCTCTCACGTAAGCATTCCCGCCTCTCTTGCAATCATGAATGTTGATACCGTGGATTATGATGTTGGTCACGTACTGTATTGTAATGCAGGGGCCACCGGCGATGTGAACGCTGGCGCCTCGGCCGTCGATGGTCTTGAAGGAGTTCATAATCAGCTCCTCCTTCAGCTTGATCACCATGTCACGCGCGAAGGTGATCCACAGAGGCTCTTTCTGGATGACGGCGTACCTGAGCGTCCCCGGTTTTGGGTTCACCGGATCATTGTCGCCGGAGTCGGTGACCACGTAAATCTGCCCGTCTCTGCCGCCAATGGCATGCTTGCCAAACCCAATTGCGCAGTCGGCTAGCCGCTGGCGGTTCTTCTCCCAATTGGGGTCGCACCGCCAGCAATCGTCTATGGGATTGCCGGTTCCACATGAGAGATATCCCAATTTCCTCCTGGCCATGGTGGCATTGTTGATTTTCCTGCAACACCCGTTAATATTCTATCAGCAACAGTCAAGTTAGTCACTACTAATTCTAGTTACAAACAAAATTCGAATTACTATAACTAACTTATTCGAATTAGTATCTACTAATTTTAAAATTAAATGCAAATGCAAAACTTCTTTTCTTGGTTAGATAGCTAAGAACTAACTTGTTCGTTGAAAAAAGCAAAAATTGAAACAAAATGCCAAAAAAAAAAAAAATCCAAAGGTGGGTCTGGAATTGGCTTACTCATTCACTTCTTGAACAACCAACTCAGGATCTTGAACAGGGGAACAACATATGAAGGTGGGAGAAAGGAGAGGAAAGAGTAGAAGTATTATTGAGAAGAATTGAAGGAATGCCATTAAAAGTTTCTTACGAAGTAGGAGGAGGAAATGTGAAGAAGAAAATTATGCCGTATGGAGAGAAATGGAGGGGGTTTTATAAACGGAATGAGTGAGATTGAATATTGTTTTAATAATTAAATATGAAGTCTAAAATTAAATTTATTAATAAATAAATATTATATTTTATGTTCCTCACACATAAATTAAGTGGTTTAGCATTTGATTGTTTGTGAAAACACCTCCCAAAGGTTTAAGTTCATGGTGATTTCTTTCCCCATTCTCTTTTAATATTATAGATTTGATTGTAATTTGTTCAAAAAATATATATTATTTTTTAAGATGAGTTTAAAGTTTCAATTATGAGATAGCATTTAAAAGAATTAATTTTTTTAATGTATTTAGTTAATATAAGAGTTATATTATTAAAATTAATTTTAAAAAATTAGTCTCAAATTAATAAAAATTGAAATATGATACCTTAACCGTAAATTATTATTATTATTTTTAAAAAAATTAAATTTGAGTTTTTCTATTTTTTGCCTGAACACTGTTACGGAAGGGTCCCAGTGTGGCAGTTTGGGCCGTTGGCCCTTGATAGTGGCATTTAATTTTTATTGAAAAAGCAATG